TGCCTATAACTTTTAACTGCTGGTGTATCTTGTCAAGGAATATGAAAAGGGAGGAGTAGAAAATTATTTTGGCTCAGTGTGGCCCAGCCTATCAACAGATTCACTTTTGTTAAAAGAAAGAAAGCAAAAAAACAAAAACAAAAAGACGGCCCAAATTATATACTCAACATGTTGTCAGTTCTCTTCATCATTCTTTCCTCCAAGAATGGCATGATCTCTGGCACAATCAGGTGATTAAAAAAAACTTGGAAAGAAAAAAAAAAAACATCATAATAATTCTAATTTTAATTTGAGTCTATTTAGCATGATTGAAAAGGAGGTTACTCCTGCAGGGAGCTTCATGCTTTTGAAAGAAAAATGGTAATTCAAGACGATCAGAGTTGATTAGATAACACAATGGGAGACTGAAGGATTTCCTTCTGCCAACCTACCCAGCCCCAACTCCTATAATATGCTTGAAAAGAAACCATCCTGTAATTACAGATTTAAAGCTGCTGTCTTCCACAATGAAAGTGCCTTTAGATCTAAACTGGGCTCTGCAAGCAAAGAAGGAACTTACATTTCTCTTCTTCTAACAGGGGTAAGACGGCCATGTGTCTGATTTCATAAAGTTGGGCCTCTGTTTGAATGGATGTCACAGGATAACCCTCTTTTTCAGATATGGGCAACCTTGAGCTGTGCAGATGTTGACAAACTACTACTTCCACCATGCCTCACCATAGACTACCCTGGCTAGAGCTGATAGAAATGGAATTCAACAACATGTGGAGGGCAACAGCTTCATCATCCCTCCTCCAGGTCTGCCTTAAGACACCACAACAAAGGAGTGGATGGGTGTTAAAAGTTGCCCCATCAGTAGTTAAGCATCTGGACAGCAAAATGAGCACATGCACACCTCACCTGGTTAGGGGGATTGCAGACTGCAGGAAATAGTGCAAATTGAGTCCACTTTTAGGATTAGGGTTAAGGTTAGGGAATCATGGGAACTGTATTTTATTGTATCACCAGAGCTCTCTGACAGAGAAGGCTCAATGTCTCAGAAAAAAAAACAATTCCCATGATTCCCTAGCACTAACCCTAACCCTAAAAGTGGACTCAATTTGCACTATTTCTGGCAGTCTGCAACCCCCCCTTAGTCCTCCTTACTATGGTGAGATCAATAGTATTGCTATTTAAATTATAACAATTAGTTCTAAATTGGCATCTATATATTTAAAATCAGCACATCCAAATTGATGTAGATCAGTTTAATCCTCTTTTTACAAGATGAATTTCCTCATTTGAGTTGAAGTTTAGATGATAATCCTTAATAAGGATATAATTTAAATTTAAATAAACTCAGGTCCTTAGGTTTAGGTTAGTAAAAATGTTTGGTCATGTAGGGGCTATGTAAATGGGTGGCTCTGGGTTGCCCCTGCTAGCAACAGATTGGGGCCATGGCAACCCCAAGCCGTGGCCCCAATCCTCCCTTTTGCCGCCCCAAAAGAGCGGCAAAATGCCTCTCCATTTAGGGGTAGCAAAAAGCCAACCTAAGAGCTGGCATGCTGCACTAGGAGGGAATCCTGATGCCATGCACCATCAGGATGGCATCAGGTTGGGGTTGGGGTGGCCAGTGTGCAGCTGCCCTGCCCCAGCTCCATCCCCAGGCCAGCCCTTTAAGCCAGTCTGCAATGCCCCTTAGTCACCTAGGTTGTGCCATACTGTTTCTATGGTTTTCAGACAGCACGTGTTTTTATTTTATAAACACCACCTGTCCAAACAAATGAGAAACTACAGGATTGTAATCACAGACATTTTTCCAGCCTCAGAGGGAGTGAAAGGCAGGCCCAGTTCCATCAGGCCTAGCCTAAGATAAGAAGAAGAGCCCTCTCTCCAGTCCATCTGCTACACTCCAGGCCTTGGAGGGAGAGAAGAACTGCTGGACATGCTCTGCTTCCTCACCACCATTCCCTTCTCCTTTTGTGTCATGTCTTTTTAGATTGTAAGCCTGAGGGCAGGGAAATGTCTAATTAACTATATGCAAGCCACTCTGAGAGCTTTTGTAGTTGAAGAGCGGGGTATAAATACAGTAAATAAATAAATAAATTTTATGCTCATACAATCACATATCAAAACATAAAGGATTCTTAGAGCCTGAGACAGAGGCTTCGAATTCAGCTCATGGTGAAGCTCCTACAAAAATAGGATTGGTGACCTGTCAACTGTTGTGTGCTTTCAAATCATTTCTGACTTGTGCCAGCTATCAGCCTCCATCTGATTTATTTTTCTGAACTTGGTGGATTTCAATATTGAATTTTCCAGGGAGGGGCAGAAATTAAATTTGCCATGATTTGTCACCTTGGAATGTTGTGTTACCTTTGAATTAGTGCAAGTGGGACAAATTTGGAAGACAGAGATGATCTTTTGTGCCACATATAACGTTACTCAGCTCCCTAGGGCAGATTTATATATTAATAAATTAATGAATGACACATACATAGAATCCTTTTTATACCTATAATGGCCACTGTTTCCGACAGCTACTACAGGCTCCTAAGATTTGAGAGCCACCTGTATCCACCCATTCTCATTGCAATGTTGTTCTTTCTTCTCTTTCTCCAAGAAAATCAAATCATTTCCTTCTTTTCTTTTCTTTTTTAATGTTTTGCTTTATTCCCTCTGGTGGTGCAGTTTTTCCATGCTCTTTCTTCCCTTTCCACCTACAGTGGTACCATCACTCACCAACACTGCTTCAGGAAATGTACTAGAATGCAGTATGAAAAGCATCTTCCATTTTAAAAAAAATCTTAATGGAGATTCATACTTGAAATGCCATGGAACTACTTTGGCCCTCCCTGCTGCTTTTTCACAGTCACACTCAAAATAACTGTAATGACTATGAGCAATGTAAGAAAAAGTTAAAGACAAAACCTACTGCCACCCAATAAATCTTGCAAGAGCCTAATATTCCTAAAAATGATGCCTTAGGACCCAATGCTTAGGTAATGAAGCAATGGCTGTGTTACTGAGCTAAAGGGTCTCTCTCCCTTTCTCAGTTTCCTTTTCTCCCTAAATGGTTACTTTTCTTGGGAAGATGATGAATTTTTCCAGAAGAAAGTGTGTGTGCTGGCAGAGCATCTGTGTTTAATAATAATAATAATAATAATCAAAAACAACAACAACAGACGTTTTTATGACACCCTTTCCACCAAAGGATAGAATGTTTAAACTTGTCAAGTTAAATGTTAAAACTTGTCAAGTTAAAACTACGCATTTAAAACAGAAGATTTTTGAAGCATGGGCTGCTGTGTTGTACTGTTTTAAAGTATTTTAAACATTTTTATCTTTTCAACTGTATTTTATTCTTTTAACATGTAATTTCTTTTAATATTGTAATAATTTAATTCTATTTTAATGTACGATTTTATATGCTTTTAATTGTACTTTTTTTTAATGTTGTCTGCTTAAATACCCTAAAGGCACCAGATCTTGTTCCATCTTGGAAGCTAAGCAGCATTAGCCCTAGTTAGATGGGGAAAACCAATGAGTACTATATGTTGTAGGCTATATTTCAGAGGAAGCTAGGGGCAAAACCACTTTGAGTATTCCTTGCCTAAGAAAATCCTATTAAATTCATGGGGCCATCATAAATTGACAGGCAATTGAAGGCCTACTTAGGACCTAGGCAGTTTCAATAAAAAGCTGTATTTTTATTTGGGGCCAGAATTACACCAGTGCTGGAGAGTGTGTGAGTGGTATGTTTTCAGTTAAAACACTACAGTAGAGAAGGCCCTCTTATATGTTCATCCATAGTGTGTTACACAGAAGACCACAGTGCATACATTCCTGCCCAAGGACTGTGGTCTGCTAGATAGGAGGGCACCTCCAGCACACCTCATTCTTTGGGCTGGCATGTATGTATCATATGCCACCATAATCAGCTTTCTAGGATCTCCTAGAAAGGGCTTGATTGAGTAAACACTCCCTAGTGCTCAGCACCAGATGCTATGTTGTGAGCCAATGAGTAAATCTCTGGAATAATCCTGGGATCTAACATTTTGACTAGTAGATAGTTATGACCTATAAAGGCTCAGGCCCAGGTTATGTGGACGATTGTATTCTTTTACCAGAGCCTGTCTGTGTTTTGAGTTCTTCTGAGGAATGCCTTCTCTCATTCCCACCTATCAGCTCCAGGGTTGGAAATTCATTTTCACAACAGACTAGATTGGTGTCATCCTTGCAATCCTTTTGTAAACATGCGAAGAATCTTGTTTTAGCAAATCTTGGAGGGCTGATTACTCAGGGGGATAAGAGCCTTTCAGAGTGTGCTATATTGTTTATATTTGTTGCTTTTCTTTTTAACAGTCATGGCTTTGAACTGCTTTTAATTCTACCTAATTGTATTTTTAGTTTTTGTATAATGTGAATTTTTAAGTGTATTTGCTTTAGCCTTCGCCATGCATCCCAGACTGGAGAAAAGGTAGACTATAAATACAAGAACAATAAGAAGAAACAATTGACAAACAATTGGAACGCAATATGTCAGACTTAACTGTAGTTGAGAAAAGGAGAGCTTGGCCTATAGAAGTGGGAGTCCCAGGGACCAAAGAAAGCCAAGACAAGAGAGGGAAAAGATAATAATAAATAACCTATACAGAGTTCTTGGAAATAAAACACTAGGGGTTTCACTAGTGATAAATACTCTTGGAGCAAATCCAAATGAACCAATAAAACATCTGAATGAAATTGCCATAGATAGGATCACAACAGTACAATTACAAAATGCAATGCTGATTGAAACATATCCCACTGTCCAGTAATACCTCAAGAATTCCTAGATTATTAGATAGAATCTGAATCAATGATGGTCCAAAATTCCAGTTGGTAACACCTGGTAGACTGTAAAACTGATGGTGACAGTCATTGTTGTTGCTATGTGCCTTCAAGTTGTTTCCAAATTATAGTGACCTTAAAATGGGGTTCTCTATGGCTGAGAGCTTGTGACTCACCAGCGGATTCCATGGCAGAGCAAGGAATTGAACCCTGATCTCCAGAATCATAGTCCAATGTTCAAAGCACTACACCATACTGGCCTTCTTGGTGTCAATAATACCAAAAGATTATTATCTAAGGAGGCTTCAAAACTAATAGTAGCCCATGTACTTACAGGTCTTGACAGGATCCCAGAAGCATGCCAGTGGTATGCTTCTTGATGGGAGAGGTGGGAAATCATGGTAAACAGCTGCTATTTGCTTAACAACCTAAGGATTTATAGTGTCTAGTGTTTGCAAGCTTAATAAATATTATATTTATGCAGCATTGAACCAAGACTACGTTGTCTGGATATGTGATTATCTGCAAGTAATTTAATGATTGGGATGTGGCCTGAACATTTGAGAATGACTGAAATGGACATATACAGACTAGCAGTTGGTGATTACCATGCACATGCTTCCAATGTTTCAGCTCTTTCTTTCTTTTTTATTCCTAGGAGGAGGCAACTGTATATATTGTTGCTGCAACAACTCTGATAATAATTACAACCACCCTTTCTAAGAATTTTTTAAAAATTATTTCCAGGGGCCTCATCTGGGCTTGTGAAGGTTACAAAAAGAAGGGATTGACTCATACTGTGTAGTTGTACTCCAATCTGGATGAAAGCAGATCTTTTTATCTGTTACTTCATGCTTCTCAGGACAAAGTAGGTAAGCTTTACTTAGTTTGTTTTGAATCAGATCAAACATGATCCTTATATCAACTGCTGTAAGCTGGCTGTGTTCCTACTTCAGTATCTCATCAGAGACTCCTTGCATTCAGTTTCCACTTTCTGCATAGTCTCAGTGCTAAGGTTATCCTATTTTTATAATCTGCTTCAGATACTATAAATATCCAATGTACTTAGCTGTAGAAAAAAATCTGTTCAGTTATTCCAGTAATTAGAATCCAATGGAGGGTCTCTCTAGAATAGGTTTGGTTTTTTTTATGACAGGTTGTGGGAGCTGTATCCTAACAATGAGAACAGGGGAAAAAATCCATAAAATCTGGGTCATAACAAAGCATGGCAACCAAAAATCTTATGTTGTTGCTGTTCACATGTGCCTTCAAGTCATTTCTAATTTATGGAAATCCTAAGGCAAGCCTATCATGGACTTTTCTTCACAGACTTTATTCAGAGTAGGGTTGCCCTTGCCTTCTCTGAGGCTGAGAGAGTATGACTTACTCAAGGCCTCACAGTAGTACCAGCAGCATAGAGTCTGTCTATGGCTGAGTGCACTGAATGGAGGCACTTTATTTGGTTGGCTGCCTCTTTCTCTCTCTCACCAACCAACACCATCCATCTCCACTGCAGCACCCAGTTGCACACAGAGGTCTTAGATGCCTTGTGGAGCAAGCAGTGAAAATGTTCATCCACAGCCACAACCAGGTGCTACACTAGCTTAGGGCCCTCCTAAGTCATGGTTAAGTGCTGGCTAAAGCTATGATATCACAGAAACATCCAAAGTTTTAAAAGGTAACAGGTATTCCTTGAAAGATGGGACAGTAACGAGTTACTTTCTAAAACTGTAGTAACAACATGCTGACTCAGGTAACTGATGACCTAGTACCATATTTGTGCTCTCCTTCCAAAGATTTGGGGGGGGGGGTGTTGCTTTGGGAAATATATAGTCTTCTTTTGGTTCCTCATCTGATCAGCTATAGATCTCCTGCATAGGCTGGCTCTGTTCAGCTCTTTCTGGGATAGGGGTGTCACTACAGTGTGAAGAGGTTCAGACTACACCTGGTGACACCTCAGAGGAAGGTGGGAAGGGACTGCCTTCCAAGTCTGGTGGCCCTGCTGGCTGGGTAGTAAAAAGAGTCACCTCCCTCTTCTGCTCACTCAGCAACTCCACCATGCCTGGAAAAGGCTATGGGGTGGCAAGAGGTGCCCACTCCTAGGGCGCCCTAAAAGCGGCGGGCGCCCTTTTTGCGACTCATCCTCCACAGCGCATCCGGACGCTGTGGAGGGAGGTCGCCCTGAACGCGTCCGGCATGCGGTGACCCGGAAGCGTTCAGGGCGACCTCAGGAAGAGGAAGGGCCGCCGCGCGTGCGGTGGCCCCTCCTCTTCCAGGCCTCGGAGACGGCTCAATTGAGCCGTCTGCCGAGGCAGTAACTCCTCCATTTCCCACCCAGCCAGCAGTTCCACCAGACCTGGAAAAGGCTGGGAGGTGGGTATTAAAAAATAATCCACACAAATTGTCAAATATACTAGGTATGCCACTGTTCTGGAGCAGTCTTTGAGAGGATATTTACAATTATGAGATTATTGAAGAGGTGGCTTAGGAAATCACCTATTGAAAAGGCATAGGGAATTTTTTTATCTACTACAGAGGTAAAGGGATCTGGCATTATATGGGAGAGGCCAGATGCCATGGACTGCCTGGGTCTGACTTTGCTTTAGAGGCAGAGGCAGATTCTGAGCCTGAAAAGGAGACAGATCGGGGATTACTTGGAGGCTCTGTAGTCTCAGAGGAGATGCAGGAGGCTGCAGAGGGAGAGACAGACTCTATGCTGCTGGTACTATGACCTGTGGAATAAAGACAAACCAATGAATCCTTGTGGCGTTCATCTAAGCTAGAAGTCAAAAGAGAGCTAATTGTGATCAGCTGAGGCATGTTGACGCTTAGCTAATCGCAATCAGCTAAGGCATGCCAAGGCTTTTTAAAAAGGCTTCAGATGATATTATTCCCTGCAGCCAACAATCGGTTTTGCAGCCTCCTTAGGTGTTGTGTATCCTGTTCCCTGCTATTGGACTTCTGTTTTCTGCCCTCTGGAACTGCCTTGTGATTATGCTTCTGCTTCTCCCTTTGCTGTTAAGTACTGGACTCTTGTGGTGTGATTTTTGGAATGGACTTTGACTACTCCATTGCTTGTTCCTTTGTGCTGCTGTCCTCGGAAGAGGTAAACAGGACACCAGCATTCCCTCAGGTCTTCTAAACATCAGTGCTGACTGCAAAGGATAATCTACCTTCCTTCCTTCCTTCCTTCCTTCCTTCCTTCCTTCCTTCCTTATTTTTGGCCATAAAAGTTACAATGGCTAATTTCATTCCAGCTTTTCTTTCTGAAAGGGTGAATATTCTATTTGCGATGTTTCAGGCAAATACAATGCAATGTGAATATATATACAAGTATATATAGAGAGAGAAATACTACTGGGTAGCAGCAGTAGTAGTGGGTGTCACTGACAGGAGTGAATTGTAGTGATACCATAGCTAACATTGGTTGGCACTGCACACAAGGAGGTGTAGGTGGCCTTCCTTGTTTAACTCCCATCACCTAGTAAACCCTATGATGAGACACCCCAAGTGAGACACAGGCAGGATCAGAGCATTAACAAAAAGGGAAGGAGGGGGAGATAAAGGGATATTACATTTGCAAGATTATCCAAGGCACAAGAAAGATGCCAAAACAAATAGCAGAAACCCTTAGGAAGGCAAATTACAGCATTATACATAAAATAGGGATGTGGAATGTGAGGAAAGTGAGCCAAGGGAACCTGGACATAGTACAAATGGAAATGGAATGCATGAACATAGCTGTACTAGGGGTGAACTAGTTAAAATGGACAGGAATGGGCCACTTTGAATAGAACAACCACACAGTGTTCTACTCAGGCAATGAAAAGACAAGAAGAAATGGGGTAACTTTTATACTAAGAAGAGATGTTGCAAAAGCAGTCAAAGGATACAATGCAAAATCAGACTGAATCGGTTCAGTAAGGCCCCATGGTAAACACATGAATATCATCATAATTCAAGTATATGCACCAACCACAGAGGCAGAATAGGAAGAAATTGATAGATTCTATGAAAGAGTACAGGAAGAAATTTACAGCACACCAATGCAAGATGATCATTGGAGATTGGAACACTAAATTTGGAAGCAAATAAGAATCAAAAACAGTAAACAGATTTGAATTAGGCAAAAGAAACGAAGAAAGTGAGTATCTGATAGATTTTTATGAAGCTAACAACTTATTCATTGCAAACACATTTTTCATATAACCCTAAAGAAGGCTACACACATGGACATCACCAGATGGTCAATACAAAAATCAAATAGATTATATAATTGGAAGTAAAAGATGGCAGCACTCTATACTGGTGGACAAGACTAGACTAGGCACTGACTGTGGCACAGATCATGAATTACTCATAACAAAAACAAGAGTAAGACTGAAGAAGAAAACAAAATGAGTGATTATACCAAAATATGATCTATATAAAATCTCAACAGAATTTACTGACTAAATAAGAAACAGATTCACACTACAGAGCATAATAGACCCAGAACCAGAGGAACTAAGGTCTAAAGCCAGGGACACAATAAAAAAAATGCAGGCAGATACTTTCAATAAACAAAAAGAAAGAGAAAAAAACATGGATGATAGAAAAAACACTACAAGCAATAAAGAAGAGAAGAGAAGAAAAACAAATGGGAGATAGGAACAAAATAAGAATTATGAATGCAACAATACAATGGCTTGAGTGGAAAGATAAAGAAAATTACTACAATGACCAAAGCAGAGAAATAGAAGACAACAGCAAAAAGTGAAGAACAAGAGATCTATTTCACAAGATCCAGGAAATCAAAAGAAAATTCAAATCAAGGACTGGGATGATCTATGACAATAAAAATAACATAATTTAAGACCAAGAAGGAATAAAAAGACATTGGATGCAATATACAGAAGAATGATACAAAAGAGATGACAAAATAAAGGGCACATGGAATGAAGAGCCATATGAAGGTGAACCCCAAATCCTAAAAAGTGAGGTGGAAACTGTAATAAGAGAAATAGCAAAAAACAAATCACCAGGAACAGATGATATTCCAATTGAACTGCTGCAATCCACATTGACAGAGTCAACTCTAGTACTAACCAACATGTGTCAACTGATATGGGAAACAAAATGATAGTCAACAGATTAGAAGCGATCAATATACATCCCCATCCACAAAAAAGGAGACACAAGAGACTGTAGCTACTATAGGACCATAGCACTGATCTCCCACACAAGCAAAATCATGCTCAAAATTCTGCAACATAGGGCC